AGCCTATGAAGATACATTTAAAGGCCTTTGGTGCAAATTTGTTCTTTGAAATAAGATGTTCTTGAACATAGAACAAACATCCAAAGGTCTGCAAATGGGTGTAAGAAGGGGTTTTGCCAAACAACAACTCATAAGGAGATTTACCTTGTAATGGTATTGAAGGCAAGTAATTGATAATGTAGGTTGCAGTAAGAACACATTCTCCTCAAAATACTAAAGGGAATGAGGCTTGAAAACTTAAGGCCTTGCAACTTCTAGTAAGTGGTAGTGTTTTATTTCAACAACACTATTTTTTTTAAGAGAGTCTATACATGATGTTTGATGTACAATGCCATTGCCCATAAAGTATTGCTGCATTGGGCTTGGGAGAAATTCTTTACCATTATAAGAACGCACAACCCAAACAACGGTGTGGAATTGAGTTTTCACCATGTTACAAAATGAAATCAAGAAATTGTATGTATCAGACTTATTTTTCATGAGTAATACCTATGTACACTGGTTGTAGTCATCCACTATGGATAAAGAATACCTAGCACATGAGTGTGTAGGTGTATGGTAAGCACCCCATATGTCACAATGCATGAGATCAAATGGAGCTGAAGCTCGAGAAGAACTCATAGGAAATGGAGTTCAGGTGTGTTTGACCTTTTCACATATATCACAAGCTTTATTTGGTGAAGCTAAGCTTTCATTAGAGATGATTGATAGTTGACGAGACGATGCATGCCCCGATTTGTTGTGCCAAATAGAATAGTCTTCTGTAATGTGAAGAGATATAGCAACTGAAGGTTTGATGGATGGAAAACAGTAGATTCCATTACACAACACCCCCTTGCCAATCAGATTCATCGAAGATGGGTCCTGAAGTGTACAAGAAGCAGAAGAGAACACAATAGTACATTACAATTGGAGCGTGAGTTTGCTAATGGACAAGAGATTAAATTTAAACTTAGGGATGTATAAAACATCATACACAATGTGATTTGAGTCCAACATAATGGAACCTTTATGACTGGCTGAAAAGGTGGATCCATTCGGTAGATAAACTATGGTGGTAGAGAATAGTGGGGAAATGTCCAGGAACAAAGATAAAGTAGATGTAATGTGATTAGATGCCCCACTATCAAGTACCCAATGATTTGAAGAGTGGACATGTTATCAGAAGGAAATGAAGTCTTATCAGCTGCATTAGAGGCACAAATGGTTGAAGTATCAGCATTGAGTAACCTCATGAGATTAGTATATTGTTCTGGAGTTAAGCCAGTCATAGATATAGATGAATATTTGTTTTCAGGTAAAGACCTAGTCATCGTGGTACATGCAATCACCAAGGAACTCTGTTTTGGACCACGTGCTGGCTTCTTTCTTTCCCATCCTTTTGGGTAGCCATGTAACTCATAGCAACGTTCCTTGACATGACCTATCTGCTTACAATGCTCACATTTTGGCCAGGGACAAGCAGATCGACCAATGGTTCGTGGGACAGAGAAAGCAGTGGCCTCTGGGATAACTGAACTTTTGGTTGGTAGTATGGACTGATGTCGTTCTTCTTGGCCCACTAGAGTGTAAGCTCGATTCATTGTTGGGAGTGGTTCAGTAGCTAGGATGTTGGAACGGATATTTCTGAAGACCTCATTCAGTCCCATCAAGAATTGGTTAAGTTTGTCCCTTTTGCGTTTTGCAACTATTCTTTTGCTGCATCGCAGCTACAATCAGGAAGAGAAGCAAGAATTGCTAACTCGTTCCACAGTTCTTTTAGTTTGGTGAAGTAGGAGGTGGCTGAGAGATCGCCCTGGTGCAAGTTTGACAAATCGTGTTTTAGTTGGTAGATGTGAGGAGCATTTCCTTGTGCAAATCTTTCTTTAAGATCACGCGAAATATCTCTAGCGGTATCAGCATATGCAATGCTATCATGGGGTTCACGAGCTAGGGAATTAAAGATCCATGAAATCACCATGGAATTGCATTTGTCCCAATTTCGTCCTTTTGTTGTGGAAGATTCAGGTTGTTCCAGCATTCCACCGACAAAAGAAAACTTATTCTTTGCCTGTAATGCATTCTACATAGCTCTAGACCAGGTGGGGTAGTTTTCACCTGTTAAGAGACAAGAAACCAACACTATCCGCGGATTATCTGAGGGGTGAAGGTAATATGGAGATTCAAAATTCATATCTGAATTCATGATGAAAAATAGAGGCTGCCGAAAAAATTCAAGAAAGTGAAACAGATTTGTCCGAGGTCAAGAATTTGAAGGATCAAAAGCTAGGGATGAAGGAATCAGTCAAGAAACTGTAGAAAAATCAGTCAAGATTGCAACAACGAGTGTACCGCCATGTTAACTTAGTTATAATCATCTAACTATTTGGATATCTTGTAATATTGGCAGAGAGAGAGGATGTGGCAGATGAACCACTCCGAGAAACTGAGGATGATGCACATGAGAAACCCAAATTGGGGCGGAAGAGGTAAGCTTAATGACAATGGGATCATGTCACCAGATTTTCTATCGGGGAGTAAAAGCATGGATCACTCATCTGGTAGTGATTGGTGGAATGCTGATTTGCCATCTCCCAGAAAAATGGGACGGATTCCAAGATGCTCTAATGATCCAATTTTAGATGATGATAGCCTCATTGAAATTGAGCTCCCAGATGGGCATGCATTATGTCAACCCCAAAAAACAACACAAGTCAAGGCAAATGCCTAATCTGCTAGAAATGTTTCCAGGGTCAATTTCTTGACAACAAAGCATAACGGAGCTGCTATTAGAAATTAATGAGATGAATGAAGAAGAGAACTTGATAGAGATCGTCATCTCCATGGGCTCCATCAAGTTTTCGAGGTTAGAGATTGAAGCGTGACTGAGTGCAAGTGTTACTGAGTTGGTTTGGTCCTTCATATGGTGCTACATTTTGGGTTAGTATTAGATCCATCTAGTTAATTTTTTTATTGCTTTTTTGGGCTTTAGAGAAGAAAAACTCTTTACATGGATGGAGTTACTATGGTTGGTCCTTGTTTGTTGGTGTTTAGTATTTCAGTAACCATAGATTGTATGCATTGAACAAGAAGACTGACCGACCTCACCAACCTGATTGAAGACTCTGAAAACACCGTGCTTTGCGACCTTAGTATGCACCAGAGTTCAGTAGGGACGATGGAAATGGGTCCCCAAGGGCCCTATTTATAACCGCCTAAGCCGAGCACAAATGGTCCAGATCGAACAAATCCAATGGTTCCCAGGGGTGTGACTGTTTGTATTTTGAGGCGAAAACAATTGAGCACATTTTTGACGTTCACAGAGCTTAATCCTCGTGTGACGTCTGTGCGTGCTCGAGACATGACCTCGCCCCCAAGGTCAAGCCACTTGATTTTATTAGGTCTGAACTGTTGGTTGAACCATTACTGAACCAAAGATTGGGCCAAATCTTTTCAACTCAAAGATAATTCCGCCTCGAGTTGACCATGTCAGGCTTAGGAGTGGGGGCAATTGATGAGGGACAATTTGGCCCATCAAATGATGTGATGACACGTGGAACAATAGAATGATGTGATGACACCTTAGCGACCTTGGTGACCATAGCGATCCCAGTCACCTCGTGCACCTATGGCCATCCAAATAGACCGATGTGTGAATAACTCAACTATGTGCACCGACCTGCTGAGGTGCCATGTAACCTTCATTTAGAAGTAAGCCAACTGTCTCCTATCTCCTCAGGATCATGACACCATGTTTGCGGAGTTTATTTTATCTCCGCCCGATTCGGACGGACTTACGTGGAGTCCATATTCGGGTGAGAAACCAACTCTGGACTAGATAAGTCAACGATTTCGGACACGCATCGTGAGGCCCACAGCAGATTGCCTATATAAAGGCCTTGCCTCCAGTCTCACAAGGTACGCGCCACTCAACTCTCTGAATCCTCTTGCAAACTAGCTTTCAGCTCTCTCAAACCTCCAAATCGCTAACTTAAGCATCAGAGTGCCCACACCAGGTAAAGTACCCCAGACACTCTGGCATCCTATTTTTGTAGCTCGACCAAGCAGCTTCACTAGCCCGACGTCTGAGTTGTCCTCCAGCAGGGAGCACTAGATCGCACTATATCAGATACACACATATATAAATATATAAATATGTATATACATAAATATGTAAAGAATTGTAATGAAAAGAATACATAAATATATAGATATATACATTTATGGATGCATATATCCATATGCACACATTCATGAATAGTAATTAAATGTACATGTACAATAGTTACATGCATAAATACATATTTATATATGTAAATACGAAATTAAATCAGGTTTGGATTGGGTCAAAATTAGTCAAAAGACTTCAACGCTAATCCAACTCAAAGTTAAATCAGTTTCATATTTTTCAACCCTAACCTTAACTGAACTTTAATCCAATTATCCGACCCTACTCTTTTTGGTCTAGGTTCGTACTAACCATGCTCAAGTTGCAACCTTTAACTAAATGGTCTCACTCGGTGTCGCTGATTTGTTGGGAATAGAGGTGTGAGATGAAACCCATGTAAAATTCGACTCTAGATCTCCTGCCTACAAGAACTCTACTGCGATGTTATATGGGTAAAATTCGGGTTTTTCGTGAACATAAAAAAACCCGAGTTCACATATGCACCCCTGTGAGACCATTTGAAACATCTCTCTTGTCATCTCAACGTGCATTTGAAACATCTCTCTTGTCATTGAAAGATGCAATATCCCGTTGGGATGTGCTGTGGGACATTTCTGGGGTACGAATTCGGTTCCCAGGGCGCGAATTCGGAAAACCCTACTCCGTCCTACCCATATAACGCGTAAACTGTATTATGAAAAAAATGTGGCTCCCTGCAGCCATGACCGGATTCAGTCATGCAAAGCCCATTCGAACAGCGATGAAATAATGAAATAATGAAATAAAGTACAGAAGTATGAAAATGCTGTTCGAACAACCGAGCCTTGCTCTGACTAAGCCGATCTCGCAGCCCTGCCTACCTCGACATTTTCCTTTTCTGGGAATACAAATACACAATAGAGACGTTGGAAACTAGCCGTTAGAAGTTTATAACTTAGAACCGGTCCAAGTGGAGTTGAACTAGGGTTTAAATGTATATATATGATCTCTGTGAGAGCGCTCCCTCGCTAATCTCAACTGCTACTTCTCTATACAAGCTCACTCAAAGATCACAAACGCCACCATTGATCAATTTCTATTTCGTTCTATTTATCTTTTGGTTTCTTCATTTCCCTATATTTCGCTGATCTGATTATTTATTTTGCAGGTTTCGTTCCTACTATTTTCTGGGTGTCTGATCCTTTGTTTTGCAGGTTTTTCGTTTTTTTTTTTCTTTTTCCTTTTTCCTTTTATTTTTGTTGTTCTCTGCTAACCCCATGGATTCAGGATCTTTCCCCTCTTCGAACAAAACCCAATCTCGGTACCCTCTTCAAGAACAGAACCTACAGAGGAGAAATTCAAGGGAAAATGTAAGTCTAAGACTCTATCGGACCCTCTATTTGGGTTTCTCATATAACTTCTGAAATTTCTATATGGTTTTCATTTTTTTCTGGTATTTGATTGAGAGTATATGATAACGGATTTTTTAATACCCGTTCTCTCTCTCTCTCTCTGAGCCAACTTTCAAAAAGGAACGAACTAATGTTTGATTGATGCCTTCTATTTTCTTCCTAAGCTTTCCTCAGAAAATAACTAACTCAGATCTTCATGTGTGAAATTGGCAGTTGGACAGATTCATTCCGAATCGTTCTGCAATGGATTTTGACTTTGCCCATTACATGGTAATGGAAGGGGGGAGGGTGGAGAAAGATAACCCGGCAACGACCTCTCCATCGAAAGAGGCTTACAGGAAGCAACTTGCAGAGACTTTGAACTTGAACAGGACCCGTATTCTGGCTTTCAAGAACAAGCCCCCCACCTCGGTTGAGTCAAACTTCCCAGAATCTGCACCATCAGTTCACCAACCGAAGCCCACAAAGCCTCGAAGGCACATCCCCCAAGTACGTATTCTTTCTTTATTCTTAATTGTTTGTATTATTTACTCTATGGGGTAGTTCCAAGTTTCTGATTTCTTTTCATGATTACAGTCTTCAGAGAGGACATTAGATGCCCCAGAACTTGTAGACGATTACTACTTGAATCTACTTGATTGGGGTAGCAGCAATGTTCTGGCCATTGCCCTTGGGAACACAGTATATTTGTGGGATGCTTCTGATGGGTCTACTTCTGAACTTGTCACCGTTGATGAAGAGAATGGACCTGTTACTAGTGTCAGCTGGGCTCCTGATGGGAGACACATTGCAGTCGGCTTGAACAACTCTGAAGTCCAACTGTGGGACTCTGGGGCCAATCGACAGGTCTGTGAATCCTCTAGAATTGTTGTTTTTTATGTGCATCACATCTCATAATGCTGTGATCTTTCTCTTACTTGGGTATGTTCCTACTCTCTACAGCTGAGAACTCTGCGAGGCGGCCACCGATCCCGGGTGGGTTCCATGGATTGGAACAACCACATCCTAACCACCGGAGGAATGGATGGTCTGATTATCAACAATGATGTGAGAATAAGGTCCCACATTGTGGAGACCTACAGAGGACACCATCAAGAGGTCTGTGGGCTAAAATGGTCGGCCTCCGGCCAGCAACTGGCCAGTGGAGGAAACGATAACCTTCTCCACATTTGGGATCGTTCAATGGCCTCCTCTAACTCTCCGACTCAGTGGCTTCACAGGCTGGAGGAACATACTGCTGCCGTGAAAGCCTTGGCATGGTGTCCTTTCCAGGGTAATTTACTAGCCTCTGGTGGTGGTGGAGGAGACCAGTGCATCAAGTTCTGGAATACACACACTGGTGCCTGCTTGAACTCTGTGAATACAGGCTCACAGGTCTGTTCCTTGCTGTGGAACAAGAATGAAAGAGAATTGCTCAGTTCCCACGGTTTCACCCAGAACCAACTTACTCTTTGGAAGTACCCATCCATGGTTAAGATTACAGAGCTCACCGGCCACACTTCGAGAGTTCTATTCATGGCTCAGGTATATACGAACTCAATCAAATCCATGGTTGTTAGTTGTTGCTTGTTGATTTTCATTACCTAAAGCTGGATGAATATTCTTACTCTGTTCGTCCCCTCTTAATATTTTCAGAGTCCCGACGGGTGCACAGTGGCATCTGCAGCTGCCGATGAAACTCTGAGGTTTTGGAATGTTTTTGGAGCTCCGGAAGCAGCTAAACCTGCACCTAAAGCGAATCCCGAGCCATTTTCCAGCCTGGCCCGAATCAGATAAAGGGGTTTATTTGCTATTTCTTATATTTTCCGAAACACATTTTATTACAGGCTTCCCTGAGAAGAATGCGTTTCAGATTGAGTTGAAAAAGAATCGGTCGTGACGAGAGGCCCGATATAAAATAAAGAAGACTTACTTTCTATGTAAATTTCCTCCACCTCGGAGGAGTTTTTTTCCGCTGTTGGGCCTTGGAACTGTGGGCGTTTATTGAAACATTACGGGTCCTATTTGCTATTTATCGATTTTCCCACTTTTTCTCATCTGATACGCCGTTTTGGGAGTTTTATCTTGTACATTGAATGAAACACAAGTATATTGAGTGTTTTAAAATAAAATCCGATGGATGAAATTTTCAACACCACCTACCTGCTCTCAATACCAACATTGAGAGCAGTCATTTCGACTGCTCTCACCATCACCACTCACCACCGTTAATAGAGAGATTTTTTAAGATCAAGTGATAAAATTATTCTGTTATTTTCACCGAAATGATGATCAAGTGAGACAATTGCAGCAAGTGTGGAGATGAGAAATGAGAAAATTAACAAATTTTGCTTCATGTTGATCTCAAGATCAACTCTTGTTGCAGCTGATCTATAATTCCCAGGGGTATGAGTAAACCGATTTTATTTGATTTGTATTCTTGTACATATACAATTGGTTGGATTACGATCAAAATTAAGATAAGATTACAGCAAGAGAGAGAGATTAAGATAAATCAAACTTATCGTACAAGTTTATTGTTGGGTATTGATGAGGGTGGATTTGGCCCTTCAATGACATTGTGACACATGGCACCTCAAAACAATTAGGTGACACCCGGAACCACTCAGGCAACAACTTGCCAAGTTGATGGTGTTCAACCTAGCGGCCTACCCCAGGCACCGACCTGACGACCTAACTTGCAGGCTGATAACTCACTCCGATGCACCAAGACTTCAAGGGATTGAGCTCGAATAACCAGACCACCTCGGGACAAGTCTACGGTGCAAGGTCACATCAGGACCACCTTGGTCCCAAGGCACTTCGGCATTCATATCAGGTCGGATCTAAAGAGCACGAGCTCAGGCAATGCTGACCGACCACCGCATGACAACCCCGGCGATCTCATCATCGTACTCCGCGTCTTATGGGATCATACCTTGTAACGACTAATATTATCTTCCCACTCCCCAATTCAAGCGGAAATGGTCAGCCTTACCGGTTGGTAACGTTATCCCCAACTAACACGGAAACGGATCCTGTCATAGCGAGAATTCTGGAACTATTCCACCAAACCCGCAAGGACTCCAGTATATAAAGGCTCCACCCCCCGGGGGTGAGGGTTCATCGAGCCTGTCATTGCTGGTAAGCCAGATCATCTCCTGTAGGGAGCAGCCGGATTATGCTACATCATTTGGCGTCGTCTATGGGAATCGCTACAAAAAGCTTTTCCATCCTCTAAAAGGCTAAGTCCTCTTCTTCCAGAAAGCTACGTCCTCACTTTTTAGAAACTAAAGCTCTCACTTTATAGTTTCTATTTTTTATGAACTCAAAGACTGCAAGAAGTTGATAGCTAACAGACTAAGCAACTCTACCAACTCTATTTCAACTCGGATAAAGCCTCATCAGTCCTCTTTGCGAGGCTCCCTCTACAAAGATGAACTCTTCGTGGCTTTGCTAGTCGAGCCTTCCAAGGCTCCCGTGCGAGCTGGCGACCTAAAGTCAGTAGTTCTGGCTCTGTAGGTCGAGCTACTAGTAGCTTCTTGTAGGAGTGGGTGACCGGCATCACGAGGCTGATGCAGTGCAGCCATAGCACTAAAGTACCGAACTGGCGAAGACCTCGATACCACATAAGACCCAGTCGCCTCTTCGGCATGGGAAAAATCAAGGAGAGTGGACTACGAGTCACTCCTAGATCCTAAGGGCCAAAATACTGAACTAGCGAAGACCTCCTCACCATATAAGACTCAGTCGCCTCTTCGGCATGGGCAAAATCAAGGAGCGGAATGCAGTCGCTCCCAGAGCCTAAGGAATTGAATCGACGCTTACGAGCTCATTGAATGATGAGGGTGGATTTGGCCCTCCAATGACATTGTGACACATGGCACCTCAGAACAACTAGGTGACACCCGTAACCACTCAGGCAACAACTTGCCAAGTTAATGGTGTCCAACCTGGTGGCCTGGCCCAGGTGCTGACCTGGCACATGCGCCGACCTGACGACCTAACTTGTAGGCTGACAGCTCACTCCAATGCACCAAGATTGCAAGGGATCGAGCTCAGATAACCAGACCACCTCGGGACAAGTCCACCTCGGGACAAGTCTACCTCGGTGCAAGGTCACATCAAGACCACCTCGGTCCCAAGGCACTTCGGCATTCATATCGGGTTGGATCTAAAGAGCACGAGCTCAGGCAATGTTGACTGACCACCGCATGGCAACCCCGGGGATCTCATCACCGTACTCCACGTCTTACGGGATCATACCTTGTAACGGCTAATATTATCTCCCCACTCCCCGATTCAGGCGGAAATGGTCAACCTTATCGGTTGGTAACATTATCCCCAACTAACACGGAAACGGATCCTGTTGTAGCGAGAATTCCGAAACTACTCCACCGAACCCGCAATGACTCTAATATATAAAGGCTCCACCCCCCGAGGATGAGGGTTCATCTAGCCCGTCGTTACTGGTAGCCAGATCATCTCCTGCAGGGAGCAGTCGGATTGCACTACATTAGGTCCCAACAAAAAATGTATGGTGAACCAATCATGTGTGTGGAAACTTTCGACTCCTGGAGTTTCTCTCTAAATGCTTTTGTGACTAGGTGAGCATCCGCGGACAGCTTCCCTTGTCTGGAGAAGCTGAAACCCGTTGGAGATCAGCTGCATCACCATCTTTCTTCTCTTCAAGACTCAAACTATCCAAGCTACTCAAAAACAGAGGTCACTACATCGGAGGGTTGTAAATGCGAGGCTCCTCATGCTGAGCAGCTTGAAATTCTGATCCAGATGCTACCCCGGTGGGTGGTTCATCACCAGATAAAGAGTTTGGACAAATCACAAACCTGTGTGGTTTCTTTTCTACCGTCTCTATGTTTGGGGATAACATGAATAAAAGTGGATATGTTCTCATGAGGAAAAACAGAGGGCTCAAAATGCATGAGATGAAACCGATGATCTCAAGATCGGTGATCCATTCGGTTAGAGAGGACTGAGAGGAGAATTAAAGGTCTTCGCAGCAACAGATGGGAGAGAGAGAAAGGAACTAGTTTAAGGGGCTACAGACCTACAGTCAAATACATTTTTTTTATCACAAAAGGGAAAAGGGAGATCATATCTGCGCCCCATAAACGCCCCACATGTACATCTCAGCGTGCATTGGGAACATCTTCCCAAGTTTGTTAGTACGAAATGTTCCCAATTTGGATATGCTTGGGGCGTTTGTGGGACGCAAATGTGAATTTCACATTGGGTTTTAGAAATGTTTTAATAGTATACTAGTGGGACCCTGCATTATGAAGGAAAGTGAAATAACCAAAATTTATAATTAATGAAAGAATGCGATGCTTTTTAAAATAAATAAATCTTTATTTTAATAATTTGTTACAAAAATGTTTTACTAATTTAGTAATTTGAAATAATTACATTAATAATTTTAATAAAAATAAATTAATGCTAATTATTTAATAAAATAATTATTTTTTCCATATTATTTGTTAGTGTTCTATTTTATTTATTTTACTTTATTAATGATTAAATGTTTCAATTGTTTGTAAATATCACTTAAATATTTAAAACAATGTAAATATATAACATTAGGCTATAGTCATGATTAAATTAATCTATAATTAACTTTTTTAGCCATAATTAAATAAATCTAAGCTCAAACTTAAGGTTTAAGACTTTGGATTAGGCTTGGATTGATCCTCATCTAAACTCAACCCACCCAAATGTAACATTCGTAATTGAATTGAATCAAACCAAGTACAACCCATGCATGCATTATTTTTTGATTTTTTTTAACTATTTATAGATTATATTGAAGATAAAATAGCTATGAAGGTTGAAGGATTGGCTACCCCCATTTGTGTAGCCCAATGAACAAAAAAAATTAAAAATCCTGGGCAAAATTTCAGTAGTGCATTAGTAGTTTTGAAGGTTATTTGGCCTAGCCCAACCCACACCTTAAGTGTAATAATATTCTACAAGCTCGCCCGTGTTAATTATAAAACTATAAATTAATTTTTTTTTTACATTTCTCCCT